TGAAATTTTGTTTTAATGAAAAATTATCAGGCGAGATAAAATCTTGTTTCGAGTAAGACAAAAATTTCAAGGGAAAATATCTCAAGTGAGATGAAATTTTTATTTCAAGAAAAACTGTCTCGAGTGGGACAAAAATTTTCAAAGGAAAATATATCAAGGGAGATGAATTTTTTGTTTCAAGAGGAACTGTCTCGAGCGAGACGAAAAATTTTCAAAGGAAAATATCTCATGGGAGATAAAATATTCGTTTCAAGAAAAACTATCTTGAAAAATTTTCAAGGGAAATATCTAAAGGGAGAAGGAATTTTGTTTCGAGAGAAACTGTCTTGAATGAGATGGAAAATTTTCAAAGGGAAAATATCTAAAGTGAGATGAAATTTTGTTTCAAGATAAAATTTATGTTTAAAGAGAAACAATCTTAAGAAAGACAAACATTTTAGAAAATTTTTAAAGATATCCTCAAGAGAGGAAAAAATTATCTTAAGAAAGTTGAGATTCTTTGAAAATTTAAAGATGTCATTGAGAAAGGAAAATGATCTTGAGGAAGACAACTTTTTGGAAACAAAAATTAATGTAACCTTAAGACAGGGAATATAGTCTTATGGTCTTAAGGAAGACACAATTTGAAATTATTCTCATGAGAGAAAAATGGTCTTAAGAAACAAAAATTTTGAGAATATCCTCATGAGAGGAAAATAATGAATGCTGAAAGATTGATGCTAATATGTCAATGATGAAAGAACAAGATGTAGAGGTATGTGGGAAGTCTTCATTCTTGAATTCTCCAATCTTCTTCATTTTTTCACATTAGAGTGCATCTTCTCAATTTTTGGTTCCCAATAGCTTGTTCTTCATGTCCCAACGACTTTTTCCCCCAAGGTTCGCTTTTCTTTGCCCCAAATTCTGATTCTGAGCTTCTATGTATAAGAGAATTCGACAACTTCCAAGACATACTTCCATAGAAATTATCTTGTTTGAAAATGTTTTTATTCCTCTATTTTTATTTTCAAAACTTGAAAAAAATTAATGAAGAAGTTCTGAAAATGATTAATAAAAGAAATTTTGAAAAATGTTTGATGAAAGAATTTTGAAAAATGTTGCCCCTTACTATAGCAATTGAGACAAATCATAAAACAATAATTCATTAGAATATCAAAGAATTAATTACGCTTTTAATCTTTCAAAGTTATGGCTCTTTGACAAGTGGCAAGATTTGGCAGGTTGATTTTAGGTTGGTTTCCTAAATGTTCTATGGTTTGTGTCATCGAGCTGTCATTCTCTTTTCTGTTCATGTAAACATTGTGGCATATTCCCCATTTTTGGATTGACATTTTATTTGGATACAGACAAAATGATGCAGTTGACATACTCAATTGCTAGACCTTTAAGAATAGTTCTATTTCGGTTGTCTGAAATCTTCCATTTGTTTAAGTTTCGTAGACTCTTTTAGCAGAGGTAGCCCTAAGGTATCGATCTAAAGAAAAAACTCCTGAGTGTTCGTGTGAAGTTGACTATAATAGGTGTTCCTCAACTCCTTTAGTCCATTATCCATCGACACTCCTTAATCTAAACTTTAGGCATTGCCACCTTTATTGAATTACCCAAATTCATCTTTCTTCATTCATTTTTCTTTCTTTCTTTTATTTTTCTTTTTTCTCTTTTATTTTTCTCTCTTTTCTTTCCCTTACCTCGAAGAATTCATTGCGTCACAATTAATGTCATGGTTTGAATATAACTACTTCATGAAGCTCAGACTTACCTCAATAGTTGCTTGAAATTACCTTCAAGTTATCAACTTAATACTTTCAGCAGAGTGGCCCCGTTTTATTATACCCACCTATCACTATTTCATTAAACTTTTGTGTATCCGGCTTCAATATTTCTTAAGCTTATCGAGAAGTACATGTTATAGCCTAGGTGTCGTTGGAAGTCAGAAAAACATTATCTTTAGAGTTCACTTCCCAAGCAACTGGCCTAAACTAAGTTCATCTATTCCACAATTCCATTTGAGAAGATCATGGTCACCATTGAACACCTAAATAGAAGTATGGTCTAATCAATTTTGCAACCTCATATGCAATATTCCCCATTTTCCCCTATCCTATACATACCTGAATGTCGAGCCATTTGGTCATCTTTTCATGTGAGGAGAAGGCTAGTTTGGCCCCTACAAGAAAATGTTATGATTTTCGGGTGTAATTTCTTGAGTAGGATCAAGGGATCTTGTTTTACGAGGATTCAATCTTGTCACTTGCCTAGAGACCATAACCTTGATTCTCAAAAGAGCTTTTAATTCAAATGATATTTACAGAGCTACAAGATTAAAATTCCTTCATTGATCATAAACTCATAAGGTATGATTTTATTTAATAAATTTAGACATCAAAATTTTTACAAATATTTGAGAGAATAAGAAAGGAAGAACAAAAATAAGTTCAAACAAAACAATGCAAGTACAAAAAAGTTTCATGGCAGATGGAATAATTTCTTCTTGATTAGCATCAAAATGACCCACTACTCATGAAAGGACCATGCCCCTGAAGCGATCAGATTCTAAAACTTGCTCTTCGGAGCCCCACAGTTCTTAGTGGCATGCTCCAAGCTTTATATACATGGCTATCAAATTCTTCTCTAGGTATGAACGGGTCATAGAGTCCTCCATAAATTACACTATACTCAAGGATTGATGCATGTAAAAATGCTTAAATTAATGCAGTGCGAATGCAAATACAGATGCAAAATGAAAATACAAAAGGTGTTAATTCCAAAAGTGACCACCATAGAACAACCTTCATTTAGACAACAAGGTTTTATTTCAACAGGTAGTCAAAATAAACTTATGATTATTCATTTCTTCGTTTATTTGAGTCGTATTCTTCATGGGATCTAATATTGCACCCAAATTTGTTGCTACACTTTATCACATTTGATGACACTTATTGTCCTTAGATTACTTGTTGTTTAATCACGAGATCTCTATTTCTACTTCCAATGTGAAGTTGTCTTCATGGGATTTATCTCCGAACATGCTTTCTACCTCTATGCGTTGTTTAAAATCATAACCGCATGATATCTAGTTCTCAAGCATTTATTCAATATTCGTAAAAACTTTTCCTTGTGTACTCTCCTCATAGGATTTCTAAGGGTAGGTCAAGCTCTATAGTCCTGGGCTCACTATATTCTAGTTTCATCTCTAGGGAAAAAGGTACTCGAATTGTCCTTATTGGTGCCCCTTGGGCTGCCAGACCCTCAATCTTGGCCCATCACATACTTATTTGGATCGAGTTCAATTCGAGGAGTACACCTCCCTTATGTCTACATGGAGTTAATTACCATCACAAGGACCATAAGGCGTGTTCCCCATGAGCAATATGTTATCCCATACGGAGGTGAAAACCATCACGAGAGAATAGTTTATCACTCCCACTTAAATGGGACGGAGCGGAGTTTTAGCTCAATGTCATGAAAATGCAGTTGTGCAGTGTGTGAGGAAAAGCGAAAAACAAAAAAAATACAATAAAAGCTGGCAACACAAAACATAGTTATCAATTCTTTTATTTAATATGAAAATATTAGCAAACAAATCAATACAACTATTTAGTGGTTAATCAAATTATAAACACAAAGTTATACAAAAACATAAGGGATCAAAAATTAAATTAAGGCGAGTTTATAATTTTCATTGCAAAGACAACTAATTAATTAACTAATGGCTTATCTCTTTAAATATCCCTAGTGGTGTCACCAAGATGTCGAGACATTCCTTTTAAAAATCTATGTCAATTAAAAATCGAGATTTTGTAAAAACGTTTGCCTCGAATAATTTGTGACTCGAGTTTAAAAAACAATAAAATTGGTTCGTGGAGTCACCAACAATCTTTGATTAGGGTATGTTTGGGCACTCAAACATATTTTTCATTTTAATAAAATATTAATTTTAATTAAAACAACAAATACGGTCAGTGTTACCTAAAATTTGAGTTTGAGAGTTGGTTACGCGTGGGGAAGGATTAGCACCCCCACAGTACCCTAAATCAATACCTAAACTAATATGTACAAACATGTATACATGATATTTAGACAGGCAAAATAACATTATAATATCCATAAATATTATACTATGCTTAACATACAGTGGGGTTTGAAATATGATAGATAATATGTATTACATACTAAAAATATATGATAATTAAAACAATTGAATACTAGAAAATAATATAAATATATTTTACACATATATACAAAAAGCTTTATAAACAAAATATATGTATACGACACTGTATAATATATGTTATATATAGTATTTAAAAAGTTAAAATATCTTTAAAAATATATAACAAGCACGTTTATAAAAAGTATAAGGACTAAAATGATTGAATAATAAATATAAGGGAAAATGATATAAACAAACCATAAAAATTCCACATCACAACGATGAACAAGAAATAAATAACATAAACATAAAATAAAGACAAACACAAATATATACAACAAATAAAAATAAAAGAAATAAAAAAATTAAAGTGTATAAAAATACAGAAAATTAGATGACTAAAATGTAAATACATGAAATTAAAGAACAAAAATTAAAATATTCATAAAATAAAAGGATATAAATGTGAATAACATATATTATAAGCACTAGGAATGGAAATAAACCAGTAAACATTTAGGACTAAAATTAAAGTATTAAAAATAACACGCCAGAGATTAAATGAACAGAAGCAGAATTAAATAAGCTAATGTGACCAAAATGAAGCGTAGGAAAAATAAAGGAGCAAACTTTAGAAATGTAAAAGCCACGAGAGAGGACTAAAATACACTAATTTAAACCTTTAAGCATTATCAGTGACTAAAACAAAGCTTTACAAAACCAAGATGGGCAGCAAAGGGGTTATCCTATGCATAAGGGTTCAGAAACCATAACCCCAGAACCACGTCATTTTGGGATTAGCATAAATACCCCATTATAAAAATTGTAGAACCCTAGCCCTCATTTTCTTCTCTTCAGCTGTTCTCTTTACTTCCCATCTCACTTTCTTTTTTCCATTTTCTCTCAACCGAGAGATAAAGCCTCTCTACAGCCACCGAGCGCCGCCGCCCTCATCAACAGTCTACGGTGGTTGGTGCTCGAGATAAGAAGCCCTAAACGATCCTATTTTTTCTCTAGAAGACAAATCCTAGATCGATTTTACTTTAAACCAACCCTAGAAGCCTAGATCTAAAGAGTTACCTCTCAGCCACTCCAACTCCGACGATGTTTGAAATTTTCTGACGAACGACAAACGAAGTGAGTCTCTTCACTTTTTTTTTATTATTATTTGAATCCTATCCTTTCTTTCCTTGTGGTTTCCTTCTTCCCCCCGATCTCTTATCTATTTTTCTTAATGCATGTTTCCTTTTAAAATCGTTGATGGTGACTCGATTTGGTGAGGATAGGGACAGAGAGTGATAGGCAAAGGTATGGGGGCATGGTTCGGTTGGTGGGGATCCCAGATTTTCTGGGATCAGTTTTTTATTTGATCTTTTACTGTTGTTTATATATATTTTTTGTTTTGGATTGATTTTTTTGGGTTTTGATTTGTTCTTTGGTTGTTGGAACAATGATTGGAGTTGATGGCAGCAGGATTGGCTCTTCAACGACGACTAGTCTCCGACAGTAGCTTCATCGGCGACGCGGTGCGACACGGGCTGGTAGGGTTAGATTAGGTTAGGGTTTAGGTTGTGGACTTGATCTGGTTAACTGGGCTGATTTGATTGGGTTAATCTTGTAATTTAGGCCTGCAAAAATGATGTAAATAATAATAATAATATTAATAATTAAAACCCATACAAAATGGGTGTCTACAGAGATAATTACTTTACTACAAACCTTAAACCCAAACCCAAATGTATAAGAGTCCTAGAATGAACCCTTTTAATAAAGTCATTTTATTGGCACCTCGCGTTATTTGATTACCACTAATTCAATCTGAAAAACGAAACAATTTAATGTTTTCTCCCTATTCACCACAAATCAAATCCAAGGTGACGATTGGATTCACCACTATATCCCCAAACGTATCAAACGATTTAAATTTCGACAATTTTCAAACAAATTAATTTTAAATTTTGACTTCTTTAATCATTTTAAATTTATATAAAAATTATCGATGTTATTATAGAAAAGTATCGCTATTTTCCAATTTCCATCTTATCTTCAATGGTATTACGATCCTTTTTTTTTCATTTTTTCCGTGTAATCGTGTTTGTTAATATATTCATAGCATTTTACACTTTTCCTTATTTTGAGTCAAATTTTAAAAGAATCAATCATTACAAGTATCGATATTTTCGATACATATATATTTTCATTAAACATATCGATAATAATATACTTAGTATCAATATTATAAATTTTGAATTGTTTGTTCTTTTTTCTCCCCAAAACTTATTTTATTAATAAAAATATTAACATATCACATTGCAATTTCTATTGGAAACATAGACATTATTAGATGCAACCTATTTTATAAAAATTATTAACATTACACTGTAGTTCACAATATACTTTCTTAGTAACCATAACATTCTTAGGCACAGTTTATTTTATTAATAAAAATATTGACATTACAAATCGTAACTTATTTTTTATTAAACCATGATATAATTGAATGCAACCGTATCTATTATGCGTATTCATAAAAGTTTAAGCTTTTAACTTATTTTATTATCGTAGCAAACTCCAAGGCTCATCGACTTAAACTTTGATAATATTTTAGGCACAATTAATTTTATTATTAAAAAATAGTAAGATTTCAGATTGCAATATGCTTTCTTAGGGAGTCATGAAATTCTGGGCGCAATCTATTTTATTAATAAAAATATTAACATTACAAATGCTACATATTTCTTTTAGAACCATGTTATTATTGGGTGCAACCATATATATTATACATGTTCATAAAATTTTAAGCTTTTAACTTATTTTATTATCGTGGGAAACTTCAAGACTCCATCGGATGAAACTTTCATAATATTTAGGCGCAACCAACTTTATTATTAAAAATAGTAACATTCTAGATTGCAACATGCTTTCTTAGGGAGCCATGACATTTTGGGCGCAATCTATTTTATTAATAAAAATATTAACATTACAAATCACAACTTATTTCTTGTATAACCATGATATTATTGGAAACAACCGTATCTATTATATATATTCATTCTTTTAAAATAAAGGAGAGATATGGGAGAGAAATAGAGATAGATGTATATATATTTATTTATATCTTTGATGAGTACGTGAACCTCGTATATATAGGGGTGATGAATGCTCTCTAGTAATTATGATACATGTAAAGAGTCAAGTCCTTTGGCATTTCATCTTCTCAATTAATTGAAGAATGCTAAAAGCCACATTAACTAATAGGGTTAATAATATCATCCACATAATATATTCATAACACTCCCTCTTGGATACCTATTATCAAATTGTGCATTGTTAAAACTTTACTAGGAAAAACCCAGTGGAACAAAAACCTAGTGAAATAAAAGAGTACATAATTATACGTTTGACATGCTGCCTCATTAAAAACCTTACCTGGAAAACACAGTGGGATAAAACCAAGGTTAAAGGAAAAAGAGTACAACGCGTATTTACTCCCCGCAATGGCTACATCATTTGAGATCTCTAAGGTGATGCATTCCAATGTAGTGTAATAACTTCTTAAACATAGATGTAGAAAGCGCCTAAGTTAATAAATCTGCCAAATTCTCTCTTGAACTAATTTGATTAACCTTTATCTCTTTAACTTTCTGAAGGTCATAAGTGAAGAAGAATTTAGGTGCAATGTGTTTTGTTCTATCACCTTTGATGTACACACTCTTGAGTTGTTCAATGCATGTTGTATTATCATCAAACAAGACAGTTGCAACTTCTTTTCCAGATGATAAACCACAATTATTCCGTATGTACTGAATCATAGATCTTAGCCATACACATTCACGACTAACTTCATGGATTGCTAAGATTTATGCATGACTAGAAGAGGTTGATGCAATCATTTGCTACATGGAGCACCAAGAGATTGTTGTACCACCATATGTAAAAACATATACAGTCTGTGATTTACCATTATGAGGATCTGACATAACTTCTCCATCTTCAAAACCAACCAACTCTATTTTGGATTTATTATGGAAAAATAGACCCATATCTTTTATGCCTTAGAGATAACGAAATACTTGCTTAACTCTAGTCCAATGCCTTCAAGTTGGGCATGAGCTAAATCTTGCTAGCAAATTTATAGAAAATGATATATCAATTCAAGTATGACTAGCAGGATACATTAATGCCTTAATTGCACTGAGGTACGATACTTCGGGACCAAGAAAAACTTCATCATTTTCCCGAGGATGGAAAAGATCATTACTCGGTTCAAGTGCTCTTACAACCGTTCGGGAAGTTATTGGACGTGCCTTATTCATATAAAATCATTTTAGCACCTTTTCTATATACGTTGATTGATGTACAGGGATTCCATCTTTTAGTTATTCAATTTGTAACCCTAAATAATTTTTTTTCTAAGATCTTTCATATCGAATTCTTTCTTCAAACAATCAACTTCAGTTTGAATCTCTTCAGGAGTTCCAATGATATTTAAATCATCAACATATACTGTAATAATAATGTATCCAGTTCCGAACTTCTTAATAAAAATGCATAGGCAAATTGAATCATTGTTATAACCTTATTTTAACAAAAACTTGCTTAGGTGATTATACCACATGCATCCGGATTATTTCAGTCCATAGAGAGATATATTCAATTTGATTGAATAATGTTCTTAAGAATCGAAATTCACTACTTTTGGCATTTTAAATTCCTCAAGAAGTTTCATGTAAATGTTAGTATCTAGTGGACCATACAAATAAGTTGTTACTATATCCATTAGGCGTAAATCAAGCCCTTCTCTTATAGTCAGACGTATAAAAAATCTAAATGTAGTTGCATCCACCATAGGAGAATATGTCTCCGCATAATCAATTCCATGTCTTTGTGAGAATCCTTGTGCAAACCAGATGTGCTTTATATCTCATAATTTATCTTTTTTCATTTTTTAAGTACAAATACCCATTTGTATCCCACTGATTTCACACCTGCATGTGTACGAATTACTGGTCCAAACACTTCTCTTCTCGCTAGTGATTTCAATTCAGCTTCAATTGTTTATTTTCATCTTTTCCAATCATCTCTTTGTCTACATTTCTCAATTGATTTTTTATTCATGATTCTCTTTGTCATTCATAACATCTAGTGCTACATTACATGCAAAAACATCATCGTTGTTGATTTGATTTTGGTTCCATTTAATACTGGTCATGACATAATCAATAGAGATCTCTTCATTTTCTGATACTTGAGTTTCTTCTGAAAATATTTTTCCAGTTTTGTCTAAATTTTTCTTCTGGAGATCTTGGTAAAACCATTGTTTCCTCGATTTGACCATCATTATTCTTTGCTCATTTTCTTTTTCGAGGATTCTTATCTTTGGAACCAATTGGTCTACCATGCTTCAGGCGTGCATTCGACCCATTAACAGCTAGAATTTATCAACCTGGAACGTCAAGTTTTATTTGAGCATTCACATCTAGTGTATGTGACTTAGTCACTCTCATTGGGTCAGTAAATGCACCTGACAATTTAGTAGCTAAACTTTGTAAATGAATAATCTTTTGAACTTCTAATTCACATTACCTAGTATGAGGATCAAGATGAAAGAATGATAATTCTTTCCAACTAATTTCCTTTATCAGCTGTTTGATCTCTTCCCTTAATGTTGGAAAAATTAACTCGTCAAAATGATAATAAGCAATAAATAAATCCCCAATAGATGGTTCTAGATATTTAATTATCGACGGGGATTCAAATCCAACATATATACCCAACCTTCTTCGAGGTCCCTTCTTAGTTCTGTTTGGTGGATCAATTGGAACATATACGACACATCCAAAAGTTATTAGATGGGATATATTTGGTTTTTGACCATGAACCATTTTGTAATGGGGAGATTTTATTGGTCTGATGTGAATTAATGTTGCTGCATGTAAAATTGCATGCCTCCAAATAGTGGTTGAGAGTTTATACTTCATGAGTAATGGTCTTGTTATCAATTGAAGTCGCTTAATTAAATATTATGCTAGACCATTCTGTGTATGAACATGAGCTACAGAATGTTCAACATTTATTCCAATGGACATGCAATAGTCATTAAAAAACTGAAAAGTAAATTCTTCAGTATTGTCAAGACGAATTGTCTTAATAGGAAAATCTAGAAAATGGATTCGCAATCGAATCAATTGAGCAATCAACCTCACAAATGTCAGATTGTGAGTTGATAACAAAGATACATGAGATCATTTAGTCGATGCATTGATTAAAACCATAAAGTACCTAAATGGTCTGCACGGGGCATGCATAAGTCTAGATATATCCCCTTGAATTCGTTCCAGAAAAGTAATTGATTCATAATTTATTTTAGCAGGTGATGACCTATTATCAACTTGTCTAGATATATCCCCACATGAACTTTTGATTATTTTTCACATCATAATTGAATTGGAATGGCCTAACCGGTCATGCCAAACAATAAAGTTATTAGTAAACTTCTGATTTACTATAGCATGTGTTTCTATTGAATTGATCTTTATGTAGTACAAACTAGTAGAGAATGTAGACAACTTTTCAAGAACTTGTTTATTGCCTTGAGTAATTCTCGTAATTTGAAGAAATTTATGATTTCCTTCGCATATAGTCTCAATATGATATCCATTTTGGCGAATATCTTTAAAAATCAATAAATTTCTTTG